TATTTAATAGTGGGTCTCCATCTGAATCGGCAAGTTATAACATTGATGTCTGGTTTGGGTGTACCTGACGAGGTATTTCTCTCGCTCCAAGAAAAGATGCTCTACGAATTGGCAGACATAATGTTGAAAGAGGCCGACGCTTTGAATGCACTTATCTCGGTGAGTGATATATATTATAAATAACCTCTGAGTTCTAAGCATGAGGAAGATTGACGCTCGTGTCAAATATAAATCTTGGTGAGCATTCAAAGGAAAAAGAAGGGGTCACTTATTATCAATTTTATTTTCTTCTTATTATTATTATTATTATCATTATTATCATTATTATTTTAATTTATTTTATTTTATTACTTTTATTTTCATTTTTATTATAAAGTTATATTTCTGGTTAGTTCTATTTTAAACCTATGCCTGGTTTATGTATAACTCTTGCTGTGGTCGACAAGTACCCTGATGAATTTTGTGTCAAGGAACGGGTTTTGATTTTCGTTCCAAGCACATAAGTCAGTTAAGCTCATATATATCTGTTAAAATACATAATGAAATTGAGTAAAATTACATATGCCCCGACTCTTGCATGAAGTATCAGTGGGTTTTGTTATTCGCACTGCGTCTTTAACATCAAGCTTGTTTACGAAAGTAAAGGCAAAACAATATCTTCTGAGTTGGTCAGCATTTTTAGAGTAGGATTTGAATTTTAAATTGAATTGATTTCATGTGGTCAGTGTTCGTGTTCCAGACAAGCAGTGGTATCCGGTTCAATCAGCTGCATGGTAGTGGAATCATGCTGACGTCAGAGCCCTTCATGAGAAGCATGCTAAGTGCTGTGTATACCAGCCAGCTTGGCGAGCTAGTTCGACGAGCCAGGATCAAAGTACCCTCTGACAAGGGGAGAACCATGATCGGCGTTGTGGACGAGTATGAAATACTGAAAGCAGGTGAAGTGTTTGTGCAATACTCACAAGATGTCACTGAGCCTGGGGAAGAGAAATGCGTTCTTCGAGGGGACGTGGTTATCACAAAGAACCCGTGTTTCCACCCTGGAGACATGCGAAAATTCAGAGCAGTTGATGACCCACAGCTTCATCACTTGCTGGACTGTGTAGTGTTTTCCTCGAAGGGGCGTAGACCAGCGCCAAACATGATGTCAGGATCAGACCTGGATGGAGACTTATACTTTGTTTGCTGGTACATGGATTTAATTCCCAAAGGGGAAAACGTAGAGCCCATGGAATTTCCCAGTGTTGAAAAACATAAACTCGACCATGATGTGACGGATAGTGATATGATCGTATTCATATCAGACTACATTAAGAACGATCAGTTGGGTATTATCGCAAATGCTCATCTTGCACAGGCAGATCAAGAACCAAAAGGCATATTTTCTGATGTCTGCAAAAAATTAGCTTCTCTTCATTCGGATGCAGTGGATTTTCCTAAGACAGGAAAGTCAGTGGATATGACTCGTGAATTAAGGCCCAAAAAATATCCAGACTTTATGATGAACGAGAGAAAGCTGACATACTGGTCTGAGAAAGTTTTGGGGAAGTTGTACAGGGAGTGTAGAGGGGTGGAGCAGCTGGATTCTAAATCAGAAACTTCAAAATCAGCACAGATAAATTGTGACAATGATATATTGGTTGACGGGTATGATGAGTATTTAGAGCATGCAAAGGAGGAACGAGACACATATAATGACAGAGTGCGGTCGCTTATGGCTATATTCGGGATAAAAAAAGAAGCGCAAGTAGTGTCAGGATGCATCACCCAATTAAAAAAAACAAGTGGGTTTCTCAAAAGTGAAAGATTTGAAGTTGCCAACATAATACGCGACAGAATGCGGCTAATACGACACGAGACGAGAAATGATTTCTTTGCGGAGTTTGGAGGAGAAAAGGAAGCCTTAGGAAAAGGTGAAATGCGGGATCTACTCTGCAAGAAAGCTGCCGCCTGTTACTTTGCTACATATGAACTGCAGGATGCATCTGACAGTGAGACCCTCCTCAGCTTTCCCTGGATGTTTGATGATCTTTTGAGCCAAATAAAGAAGAAAGCAGTGCAGGGAAGTGCATCAACACAAATCTCAATCCGTTCTCTGCCAGATAAAGCGCAAAGCCCCCTAATGAAAGTTGCACAAAGTATTGAAGATTACTTCGCCAAGCTTTCCCCTGTCTTACATCTACAAATTACACAGGACAGGAGAATAGAAAAAATGATCTTGAAGTCGATATACACGGCAGATTACAGATCGCGCCATGGAGGTCCTATAACAATAGGCTCAAAGGCAACATGCCTCTTCACAGACACCTCCAGCATGGATTTCTTCATCCCCAATTTTCAAGGACCCCTGCCGCAATTAGTCAGAAACCTGTGTGGTCAGATAACAAGATCAAGGCCTGATACCTCCATGCCCAGTTTGGTATCTTTGAGAGTGCCTTCTGGTGAAAAGGAGGTAAAAGTCAACTTCACATCGAATCCTAATGCTTTGCTTAGAGTCGCTTACTTCCACTGTATGCTGCAAGAGAATATTTGGCTGTTACCTATCCTGAGAGTACTTTTGGGTTGGTTGATCACGAACAATGTGGTTGATACCAGTGGGAAAATTCTTCAGGCCAAGGAAGCAATGCTGCTACTCTTTCTCTATTTTGTGCAGGATGAAGAGAAAGTAGTTGTTCGGCCTACCGAAGAAGACATTCGTGCCCTCCAGAAAATGTTTCGTTCTGAGAGAGCAGTCGATCCAAAGGATTTGTTGGATTATGTGGCAAATAATTATACAGCAGAGGAAAAGATAGCAGAACTCCTACTGAAATTCTTTAAGCACTTTGGTAGCGATAGTGGGGTGAAGTTACTCAACGAAGTTACTGACCCTTCTATGATATGCTCACGCAGACCACGAAAGCTGTTAGGGAATTTCAATGGGCACGTCAAGGAGAGGATAAGAGACAAAATGCTTCAAGCATATCACATTGTGGCCAGAAATGCTTCCATCGGAGGTTTGGTTGATATGTCCCATGTTGATGAAGAGAAGCGCTTGGATTATTGTTTAACTGCTGAATCGTCCCGATTACTTCTGACAGGTGAAGACTACTTCTCCATTCAAATATCAGATTCCACTGGGGCACGTGCACTTGTCCACAAAAAGTCAAAAAAGAAAGGAAGTCAAATTACCGTGGAGGCATACGGCAACTCAGAAAGTTGCTTTGCGCTACAAAATGCTCTGATCGACTTGGAAAGGCAAGCTAGTCACCGCATTGAGTTTACGTCATCAATGAAAAACTGGAGTGTCCAGGATTCGCATCAGCTGCTTCTGGAAGGTGACAATGACGTGAAAAATATTATCGCATTCGAAAATTTCAAAGGATTTACGGAATTTGAAGAAATTCCCAAGGAGATAAAAGTGCCCAAGCTGGTTGAATACGTAGCTGATGGCAACACATTAGATAACCAATTGAAGTTATGGGACAACGTGGTGGACACACAGGTTGATCTTATAAAACGAATACATAACCCTTTTTGCCATGGGATAGTTCACTTCTCAGTTGACGTTGGCCACATCTACGTCACAGACGTTCCCACCAAAGTCAAGAGGATCTATGATCTTCAGTGGTATTTGAAAAACCTGTCTGGTGAAACAGGCAAAAAACACTCGTGTTTTACACCGTTAGTTCAAACAGAACTTGCATTAGCTGTCGAGCGTAAACTTAGAGACACCGGCTTCACTGCTGCTGATCCCATGGCAGAATCCTATGAAGTTACATTTGCAACGAAAGACGCCAACCACAAAATCTTTTTAGATACAAACCTTGCTGTAATCAATGTAGAATTACCAGATATATTGTGGCTGGTTACGGACTTAAAACGACTTAACACCGACGATGATCCCACCCTGAACAAGCCTGACCTTCGCTTCCAAATTGCCTCAAAGCGAACGCTAAACGCAGAGGAATGTCAGTACATATCCGATTTAAAGGACATTATACGGAGAGATTTCAAACCACTAATCAGACGCCAGAATGACACAGAGGACACTGACAATATCTCAACATTAGATGTTAGTGACAGCATTCGGGACCGACTTGTTGATGTAGTGGAGTCGCAAGAGAAAACTTACAGATACACCCCTACCCAGTCACATAATGCAGGAAACCAGCCTCTGATTCGGGATATGAATGTAGCCCTGTTGTCATCAATCAGTGTTGAGATCCGAAAACAACGAGTGTTTGCTAAACCCGAAAACGGACGCTCCTCACTGGAAATTTGGATCCCCAAAGCATATCGGATAACCGTCAACTGCAGTGCTGATGCCCTGATTGATGGTGAAGAGGGACTTACTAAGGAAGATGTCAGGAAAGACATTTGGAGGTTCTGCCTCAGTTTGGCAGATCCAAACTAGTGATAAGCAAACTATTTGGAAAGTGGTTCATGTATTACAAGATACGGTTTATGAGCCATGAGTCGATCCTATAACTTATTCGTGGTCAACAGAGATCACTGAACCACGAAGCACTTAAGCAAATTTGTAGTCACAACTTTATTTCCAGGTCAGGAAAAACATTATATAACAGACTAAATTTACGAAATAGATTCCCCGATTTAATTGTTTGTTATAATATGTTATAGCTTCCCTGAGTGTCAGGGCCACTGCAAAGCTAGCTTGTTCACTATTCAATCCTTTTAATGGGATAGCTTCACAGTTTTGCTGAAAAACTGAAACCTAGAACCTAGGTTAGTTATAGCTAGGTTAACCAGAGAATATTTGGCGCACAGGCATTGCCATATAATTCTAAATGGACACGTAATATATAATCTAATTTTATTTTACATCCTGAACACTCTAAGGATGCACTTTCAGCTGCAAACCCTTAAAAAAAACGAGATTGATTCCAGCGAAATATGAGTGCATTAGCACCATATAATCCACCACCTTCTGTCAAAACAAAAACATTTTAAATAATGTAATTTACTGTCCATAGAAATGTTAAGTAGCAAAAACGTGCGATATTTTCAAAAGGGTTTTTACCCAATGCGCTGTCAACTTTAAAGTATTTTATAAATTGTCATTCTTTTTACTTCATTTCAAGGTACTTTACTTATTGCACTTTCAGTACAAAGTAATGATAAATGTTGTCTTATATATTTAATTTGTATGTTGATAATGACCAGGGGCGGATCCAGGATTATTTGAAGGGGGGGGGGGGCGTTTTTAGGAAAGAAAGGCCACGGATGCGAAGCAGACCCTCCCCCCCCTCCCCACACACACACACATGGTCTGATGACAAGCAGAGATTTTTCGAATAATTGCTTTAACTGCCATTTTTGGTGGTGAAATAGAACATATTATATTTCTATGCGTTGTTTACAATGTTTTTATTGTAAAATATAGATTTCATACGAAGAGTTGTTATCCCTTTAAGTAGACATCAATACTGTAACGGGCTTGATTAAAATGATCAAAATGATGAAAAGGGTCTTTTCGGGTAATTACATTAGTTATTTGTTGTTTATGATGAACAACTGAATTGTTTTAACTTCATTGTAAGAAATGCATGCTGATAAACTTGCTCAAAATGTAAGCCAACCCAGGAGTGAACATGTTCAGCAGTGGAATGAATCGAACGAAGTGAGGTATATTAATAGTTTATTTCGGGTCGGTTCCATTACATCGTAGGGGTGGCAGGTCGGATGAGTTCATTCCACTGGAGGGGTGACTGGTGGGGCGAGTTCATTCCATCGGAGGGGCGGCAGGTGGGGCGTGTCCATTCCAAAAAAGGGGTGGCAGGTGGGCGAGTCTATTCCATCAGAGGGGGTGGCAGGTGGAGACGCNAGCAGACCCTCCCCCCCCTCCCCACACACACACACATGGTCTGATGACAAGCAGAGATTTTTCGAATAATTGCTTTAACTGCCATTTTTGGTGGTGAAATAGAACATATTATATTTCTATGCGTTGTTTACAATGTTTTTATTGTAAAATATAGATTTCATACGAAGAGTTGTTATCCCTTTAAGTAGACATCAATACTGTAACGGGCTTGATTAAAATGATCAAAATGATGAAAAGGGTCTTTTCGGGTAATTACATTAGTTATTTGTTGTTTATGATGAACAACTGAATTGTTTTAACTTCATTGTAAGAAATGCATGCTGATAAACTTGCTCAAAATGTAAGCCAACCCAGGAGTGAACATGTTCAGCAGTGGAATGAATCGAACGAAGTGAGGTATATTAATAGTTTATTTCGGGTCGGTTCCATTACATCGTAGGGGTGGCAGGTCGGATGAGTTCATTCCACTGGAGGGGTGACTGGTGGGGCGAGTTCATTCCATCGGAGGGGCGGCAGGTGGGGCGTGTCCATTCCAAAGAAGGGGTGGCAGGTGGGGCGAGTCCATTTCATCCAAGCGGTGGTAGGTGGGATGAGTCAATTCCATTGGAGGGGTGAGAGGTTGGGGGCGAGTCCATTATAGGGTGACCAGTGAGGCGACTTTATTCCATCTGAGGGGTGGCAGGTAGAATAATTCCATTGCATTTAAGGGGTGGCAGGTGGGATGAGTCCATAGGAATTTCTTGAAAGTGGTCACAAGAATGCACGAAGGAATTGGGGATATAATGCAAATATGATTTTAATTTTCTCAATTTGGTCCATAGAAAATGCACTGAAAAATGGGTTTTATGTTCCACCCTAAGAATGTAAGGTTACAGCCGAATCTTTCCACCTTCATTCTCTGTCCAAATTTCAAACGGAAGTATTCATATAGGTCACCAAATAAAAATGGAATACGTACCCGTCAAATACAGACCCGTCCTATATAATGAAACAGAAAAAATTATATCCAGGAGAACGTACGAATTAGTTTCATTTTGCTAGAGTACAAAAATTTAATTTAATTTTTAGATAGGAAGATTGTAAATTTATACAAAAAATCTCGATGAGCTTCTGAAAAGAGAAAATGTTTACATCTTTAGACCAAACGGACAGCTTCTTTACATTCTAATAATGCATGTAATATCACAGAGGTAGGGGTACTTACAATTGAAATTTAGTGCGTGTTTTTTAATTTATGCTTAGGCCCAAGAAATGCCGACGCGAAAAAAACAAGCCAAGGTTACTTAACACTAAAATCATGAACTGTAATTAGTTAATGATAAAACTATTTGATGGTTCTTTCTAGAGAAAGAAGCACTGATAACACAACCTCCCCCCCCCCCCCCCCCCCGGGGGGGGGGGGGGGAGGATGGTTCTGCGGCCGTTAATATATTTCTCCTAATATTAAAAGTTAAAACACTTATTGTAGGACATATTGACGCATTTCAGGAAAACGCAAAAGATCTCATTTACAAATAATCTTCGAAGGATATAACAAGCACATACATATAATTTGGTCGAAATAAGTAAGTTTTAATATGAGGCTTCCGTTGAGTATTTTCCTTACCCATAAAAGGCACTTATTTAACGTGATTCATGAATGCGTTTTTTTAATTCTCCGCCCATCGTGTGACTAAGTCATTAAACCCGGCGATTCGTGATTTTTTAGAATTTGTTTACGTGCATTATCAGTGAGATGTGAAAAAAATATTTACTGTGATTTGTGATTTGATAACTTATTTCCCCAAGAACCGTGTACAGTGGAAAGACACTGGAAATTACAGGCTGTGTCAAATATGTATCTGTTAATGCATTGTTATATGAGCACTCGAAATGCGAATGTGCGTGTTAATTTTGTTATACGTATAAAGATGATTGAGAACTTGCCTTAAGCAAAACTAGATTACCCATATCTCGTCTGAAGCAAATATGAGAACTATTATAGGTACGATTGTGTTACCTAACGCCTGTGCAATAATAACAACAGTGACAATTTTTTTGTTCAAAGTAGCGCTACAAAAAGGTTTCAATTTAATTTTTGACACCTTTAAAATTACAAATACTGATATAAAATGAGACCTTAGAAACAACATTAATCATAAAATCGTAAGACAATGAAAAAATGTTTTAAATTCCTTTTAAAAGTATCGCAATTGTCGTAGGAGGTAGGCCTACTGTTGATAAAATTTGACCGTAGAATTTGACTATGAAATTGATCTACACAATCACGGGACACAATAAAACTTGGATCAGAAGTGTATATTAATTATCCATTGATCTTGGTGGATCTTTTCAAGCAAACTTAGGTATTGTAAAATAAACCTAATTAACGTTTACCCCGATGTTCTTGGAGCATAATTTTGTTACAGGTAGCTGGATAAAGTATGTTATATTACTAATTATATTGACCCATGGAACAACTGTGTGAAAATACCGGTAGACCGACACTCTTGCTAAATACGACGGTAGACCATCTATATTCAACAGAATAGGGCCTAATAAACCAGCTCATTGGTGTTTTATCATATTTTCGTAATCTACCTTCAAGTTCCAATAGTTTTGGAAAAAATACAGGTAGACAATATCTATTTTGGCATGAGACTTGGCGTGAGAAATGTTGGCTGAAATGTGCTGCGCTGAGTGTTCAAGAGTGGATGAAGAAAGTTTCGCCTTTACGCCGACAGGGGGCAGTATCTAACAAAATGGCGGCGCCCATGTGCTGAAATTTTAAACTTGACGTCTATTAGTGAAATGATGTATATTTATGAAACATGCAGGCAAATAGCAACATACTAGTGTCTGTTTTGTTTTTTCATCTTACGATATTCTCCCTATGTCCAGTAGAAACTCTGGAACCAGTAACATCTGGGATAGCAGTTGTTACAGCTTTGGCCGCTTCGGGATTATTTGCAGGTTATGAACTCCTGAAATGTCGAATGTACGAATGTTGCGACGACAGATGGCTCATAGCAAATCTGACTGGTAGGAAACATAAGGCCTTATTTTAAAAATAGCTCTTGTTTTGTTCTATGATTATAAAGTTAATTTTGTGGGAAGACTGAAGACTTACTGAATCCTATCTATAATAAATAATTAAGGGTCCACACGCTTGAATACCACCTTGTATGGCGAATCAGCCTAGTAAATGAACCTAAAACCACATTAAAAAATTAAGAATCCCCTGCTAATCTACCATACCAAAATACTTTCAAATATGGCTTAAGTATTTTAAACAAATTTGATAAAAATGCGGAATCTTGAAAAGTACATCTAAATGATGATGGAAGTACTGAAGACACTGGATCGTCCTCAAACTTGGTATAAACAACCTTTTTTTTTCCAGGCTACACCCTCTCATTGTTTGTTTGTTAATCTGATGTATGAAATTTCCAGAATCATGCAGGCATGAACATCTCTGCCGTCTTAAAATAAATCACAAACATACACCTCTGTGCCATTCCAGCTGTCCAGGATGTTGCTCAAAGTTGAGATGAAACTATACCCTCCACCAGGGAGTTGGATAGAAACTAGCCTCTGACAGGGCCATGGATTGGTTTTTCACTTGATATTCCTAGATAAATCTGTGGCCTATTATCATGTCATTTTTTTCTACTGTGAGTTTTGGTGTGGAATTAATGTCATCACTAAGTTGTCCTACAGTATAGAATACGTCACCCAGTAGGATAAAATGGTCCTTATGAAAATGGAGACATGCAATTAGACTGCTATAGTCATGTCTGACCTTTATAGCACCCAAGTGTTTCTGTCACATTTTCATAGGACAGAGGGATTTAAGCCTGATTTAGGGAATTTCATACACCCAATTTACAAACCATCAAAAGGAGGATGTAGCCCAGGAAATGCAAGGGAGATGTACCAAAATTGAAGGTTATGCTGAAGAAACTTTTTTTCCTCTTTTTCTTATTGTTTATTTTCCAAGATTCTCTTTCACAAGTTTACCTTATTGTATAGTCAAAATACCTATCCGTGTTAATGGCAATTTAAAATTTGCTTGAGTGTGAACATTCTTAACATGTTGCATTACACAACTTTTAATATGCATACACTTTGCAGATAAAGTGATGAATTTACTCTGTATGTTTGAAATTGAAATGAATAACAACAGTAATTACATATGTATCTCTTCTTTAACAAGGTATGAAGACAGCATTGGAATCTCGTCTCCATGGACAGCATCTTGTTGTTGATACTACTGTCAGGGCCATCACAGGACATATTAAAAACAAAAGTAATTAAGTATTAGTAACATGTTAAGAACCTGATTAAATGGAGGAGGAGTTTTTAAAGGAGAAATTCAATAGATCAGTATTTTACCTTGTGTCTGAATAGTAGTTGTCATACAATGCACTGTGTTCTTTTATTCTCCACTCCTATTTCACTGTGATATAAGATACATTTTGTTGTTTTTGGTAGTCCTGTTTCCCCGAGTAAGACTGTAGAACAATACAATGTCATCTTAGTTCCTGTAATAGAGTGGAGGTTCTGAGTGAATATATATTTAAGGATATTTAGAGTGATTCAGATAGAACTCTATACATGTTTGTTAATTTAACATTTTTTACATTAATTGTTCTTTGTTTATAACTTATGTGAGAGTATGTTTAAATGTATGCCTTATAATACCTTCCAGATCCACAAAAAGCCTTAGTTCTTGCCTTCCATGGGTGGACAGGCGGAGGGAAGAATTTTGTTAGTAAGATAATAGCTGAGCATCTCTACCACAAGGGCATGGAGAGTCAATATGTTCACCTGTTTATTGCCACACTACATTTTCCCCATGCCAGCAAGGTGGAGACATATAAGGTAAATAATCTTGCGTTCTTTCTCTCTTTGTTTATCTTTCTCCCTGTGTTTGGTAATTAATTATAGAAATAATGCGTTTATGGATAAAATTTTGGTATGTCATGCGGACAATTTTGAATATCATTCATTGCAATATTATTAAACTTACTTAATTTTCTGGGGTTATAGTAGCTTTATTTTTTCACTTATTTTTCAATGAATGGTTATCATTGTTACATACAATTTTAAGAATTTTATCATTATCTGAACAGCATTTTAAAATTAGCTAGTCCCAAAAGAATACTAAGATCAAGTGGACAAATTCACAAATGCAAAAGGAAAAAAAAAAACGTGGACATGGTACCCTCTACCAGATATAATTATAGGGAAATCTTGAAAAAGCCAGAGAATGAAATGACTGTCTACGACAAATCTTTGAATATCTTGTGAAAAATCAATCTGTTCCCCTGGTAGAGGGTATGGGCATGGTAGTAATGAGATTGGAGCTCACCAATTTTTATCGTCAAATGTTATGAACAAGTTAAATGCAACTCTTAAAGACAGAGAATAATTTTTTTTTAAATTATTAATAATGTATATGCTTCTTGTGCTCAGCCTTTATTCCTCTTTATAGTGGTTTAAGGATCTATTTGTAGTAGTTTTTATAATCAAAGCTGAGACTCTTGTGTAGCACACTTTTAAAAATCAAAATTTTTATTAAAAGTTTACAATTTTCCTCCTCAAAAGAAAGTTATTTCGGCAAAATGTTGTCATGCATCTTTTAATTACACTCTTCTGCTTACTTACAGTAACACTTATCTTTTTCCATCAAATAAACATCAAAACTTTGAATGCAACTGATTTATAAATATATTGAATTTCATAATTTGTTGGTTCTAGGACCAGTTGAGAACTTGGATTAAAGGAAATACCACCAGGTGTCCTCGCACTCTGTTTATATTTGATGAGATGGATAAAATGCCTGAAGGCCTTATAGATGCAATAAAACCTTTCCTAGATGTTTACCCAGAGATAAATGGAGTAAATTATAGGAAAACAACATTTATTTTTCTAAGGTAATGTCACAGGTATTTCTTCTTTTCCTTTTTTCCCCTCATAATGAAGCTTTAATGAACTTTGCAATTTTCATATGTAAATGTGACCTATAATAACTGGGGGTATTTTTTTTTTTTTTACTTAGATGGACTCTAAAACCACATTCCTATAGATACCATTGGTCTATGTGGATCTACGTAATTCTGCAGGGACTCTTGCTAAGTGCAGTTAGCTGAACTGAATGTACTCATCTAATCACCAGCTTTTCTGTATTCTGCTCAACACCAGGAAGAGGCATGTCATTCAGTTAAGCTGACTGCAGTCAGCAAGAGTCCCCACAGAGTTGGATCGATTCAGTCAGACCAATGGTGTCTGTGTGAATGGGGTCTAAAACATTGTAATGCTCATCATTCAGACTGGAATACCGTACTGGACAAGCATATATTAAGATTGACCAAATTAGGCTTTGGTAAATTTGGATAAGGTCACCTGAGTGCAATTTAGCTCGTTTCATTCTGGTAGCATTTTTATGTACAGACACAGATGTGTCTGTACATATAGCCATCATCTGCGTCTGTCATCGTCGCCGTCGTCGCCGTCGTGCACTTTTACCGATAACACGATAAGTGGAAAGCANATTTATTTCCCCAAGAACCGTGTACAGTGGAAAGACACTGGAAATGCCAGGCTGTGTCAAATATGTATCTGTTAATGCATTGTTATATGAGCAATCGAAATGCGAATGTGCGTGTTAATTATGTTATACGTATAAAGATGATTGAGAACTTGCCTTAAGCAAAAATAGATTACCCATATCTCATCTGAAGCAAATATGTGAACTATTATAGGTACGATCGTGTTACCTAACGCCTGTGCAATAATAACAACAGTGACAATTTTTTTGTTCAAAGTAGCGCTACAAAAAGGTTTCTATTTAATTTTTGACACCTTTAAAAATTACAAATACTAATATAAAATGAGACCTTAGAAACAACATTAATCATAAAATCACAAGACAATGAAAAAATGTTTTAAATTCCTTTTAAAAGTATCGCAATTGTCGTCAGAATTACTGTTGATAAAATTTGACCGTAGAATTTGACTATGAAATTGATCTACACAATCACGGGACACGATTATCCTTGGATCAGAAGTGTATATTAATTATCCATTGATCTTGGTGGTAATACTTGAATTTAAACACGCACGCGATTGTCAAGGGGAACACAAAATGTTTTTAAAAAACCTAAAAGTGCAGACCTAAAATTTTTTCAAGCAAACTTAGGTAATGTAAAATAAACCTAACGTTTACCCCGATGTTCTTGGAGCATAATTTTGTTACAGGTAGCTGGATAAAGTATGTTATATTACTTATTATATTGACCCATGGAACAACTGTGTGAAAATACTGGTAGACCCACACTCTTGCTAAATACGACGGTAGACCATCTACAGTGTATATTCAACAGAATAGGGCCTAATAAACCAGCTCATTGGTGTTTTATCATATTTTCGTAATCTACCTTCAAGTTCCAATAGTTTTGGAAAAAATACAGGTAGACAATATCTATTTTGGCATGAGACTTGGCGTGAGAAATGTTGGCTGAAATGTGCTGCGCTGAGTGTTCAAGAGTGGATGAAGAAAGTTTCGCCTTTACGCCGACAGGGGGCAGTATCTAACAAAATGGCGGCGCCCATGTGCTGAAATTTTAAACTTGACGTCTATTAGTGAAATGATGTATATTTATGAAACATGCAGGCGAATAGCAACATACTAGTGTCTGTTTTGTTTTTTCATCTTACGATATTCTCCCTATGTCCAGTAGAAACTCTGGAACCAGTAACATCTGGGATAGCAGTTGTTACAGCTTTGGCCGCATCGGGATTATTTGCAGGTTATGAACTCCTGAAATGTCGAATGTACGAATGTTGCGACGACAGATGGCTCATAGCAAATCTGACTGGTAGGAAACATAAGGCCATATTTTAAAAATAGCTCTTGTTTTGTTCTATGATTATAAAGTTAATTTTGTGGGAGGACTGAAGACTTACTGAATCCTGTCTATAATAAATAATGAAGGGTCCACACTCTTGAATACCACCTTGTATGGCAAACCAGCCTAGTAAATGAACCTAAAACCACATAAAAAACTTCAGAATGACCTTCTTATCTACGATGCCAAAACACTATCAAATATGGATTAAGTATTTTTAAACAAATTTAATAAAATTGCAGAATCTCAAAAAGTACATGTAAAGGATGATGGAAGCAGACATTGGATCATCCGCAAACTTGGTATACCTACCTTTTTTTCTAGGCTACACCCTCTTATTGCTCGTTTGTTAATCTAGTGTATGAAATTCTCAGAAGTCCTCTGTCATCTTAAAATAAATCACAAACACCTGAGTGCCATTCCAGCTGGCTGCAGGATGTTGCTTGATGTTGAGATAAAACTATACCCTCTACCAGGGAGTTGGGTAGAAACTAGCCTCTATCAGGCCCATGGATTGATTTTTCACTTGATATGGATGTGTCTGTAGCCTGTTCATAACAATTTTTTCTACTGTGAGTTTTGGTGTGGAATGTACTGTATGTTTGAAATTGAAATGAATAACAGCACTAAGTTGGCCTACAGTATAGAGTACATACCCCAGTAGGATAAAATTGTCCTTCTGAAAACGGAGCCATGCAATGCATTGGACTGTTATAGTCATGTCTGTCTTTTACCAATTCCTCAGTATAACACCCAAGTGTTTCTGTCACATTTTCATAGGACAGAGGGATTTATGCCTGATTTGGGAAATTTCATACACCCAATTTACAAACCATCAAAAAGAGGATGTAGCCCAGGAAATGTAAGGTAGATGTACCAAAATTGAAGGTTATGCTAAAGAACTTTTTTTTCTTTTTTTCTTATTTTTTATATTCCAAGATTCTCTTTCACATGTTTACCTTATTTTATGGTCTAAATACATATCCGTGCTAATGGCAATTTTTAAAAATTATCTACTGGTACATCTATAGACACATGCCTTACTATGAACATGCTTAACATGCTGCATTAAACACCTTTTAATATGCATACACTCTGCACATATTAAACTGATGAATTTACTCTGTATGTTTGACATTGAAATGAATAACAGCAGTAATTACGTATCTCTTCTTTCACAAGGTATGAAGACAGCATTAGAATTTCGTCTCCATGGACAGCATCTTGTTGTTGATACTACTGTCAGGGCCATCACGGGACATATTAAAAACAAAAGTAATTAACTATTAGTAACATGTTAAGAACCTGATTAAATGGAGGAGTTTTTAAAAGAGAAATGTAATAGATCAGTATTTTACCTTGTGTCTGAATGGTAGTTGTCATACAATGCACAGTGTTCTTTTATTCTCCACTCCTATTTCACTGTGATATAAGGCACATTTTGTTGTTGTTGTTGGTAGTCATGTTTTCCTGAGACTAGAGCAATACAATGTCATCTTAGTTCCTGTAATAGAGTTGAGGCACTGAGTGAATATATAAGGGATATTTAGAGTGATTCAGATAGAATTCTATACACATTCATTAATTTAACATTTTTTTACATTAATTGTTCTTTGTTTATAACTGATGTGGGAGAATGTTTAAAATGTATGCCTTATAATACCTTCCAGATCCACAAAAAGCCTTGGTTCTTGCCTTCCATGGATGGACAGGCGGAGGGAAGAACTTTGTTAGTAAGATAATAGCTGAGCATCTCTACCACAAGGGCATGGAGAGTCAATATGTTCACCTGTTTATTGCCACACTACATTTTCCCCATGCCAGCAAGGTGGAGACGTATAAAGTAAATAATCTTGCATTCTTTCTCTCTCTTTGTTTATCTTTCTCTCTGTGTTTGGTAATTAATTATAGAAATAATGCATTTATGGATAAATTTTTGGTATGTCATGCAGACAATTTTGAATATCATTCATTGCAATATTATTAAACTTACTTAATTTTCTGGGGTTATAGTAGCTTTATTTTTTCACTTATTTTTCAATGAATGGTTATCATTGTTACATACAATTTTAAGAATTTTATCATTATCTGAACAGCATTTTAAAATTAGCTAGTCCCCAAAGAATACTAAGATCAAGTGGACAAATTCACAAATGCAAAAGGAAAAGAAAAACGTGGACATGGTACCCTCTACCAGATATAATTATAGGGAAATCTTGAAAAAGCCAGAGAATGAAATGACTGTCTACGACAAATCTTTGAATATCTTGTGAAAAATCAATCTGTTCCCCTGGTAGAGGGTATGGGCATGGTAGTAATGAGATTGGAGCTCACCAATTTTTATCGTCAAATGTTATGAACAAGTTAAATGCAACTCTTAAAGACAGAGAATAATTTTTTTAAAATTATTATTAATGTATATGCTTCTTGTTCTCAGCCTTTATTCCTCTTTATAGTGGTTTAAGGATCTATTTGTAGTAGTTCTTATAATCAAAGCTGAGACTCTTGTGTAGCACACTTTTAAAAATCAAAATTTTTATTAAAAGTTTACAATTTTCCTCCTCAAAAGAAAGTTATTTCGGCAAAATGTTGTCATGCATCTTTTAATTACACTCTTCTGCTTACTTACAGTAACACTTATTTTTTTCCATCAAATAAACATCAAAACTTCTGAATGCAACTGATTTATAAATATATTGAATTTCATAATTTGTTGGTTCTAGGACCAGTTGAGAACTTGGATTAAAGGGAATACCACCAAGTGTCCTCGCACTCTGTTTATATTTGATGAGATGGATAAAATGCCTGAAGGCCTTATAGATGCAATAAAACCTTTCCTAGATGTTTACCCAGAGATAAATGGAGTAAATTATAGGAAAACAACATTTATTTTTCTAAGGTAATGTCACAGGTATTTCTTCTTTTCCTTTTTTTTTCCTCATAATGAAGCTTTAATGAACTTTGCAATTTTCATGTGTAAATGTGACCTATAATAACTGGGGGTATTTTTTTTTTTTGCTTAGATGGACTCTAAAACCACATTCCTATAGATACCATTGGTCTATGTGGATCTACCTAATTCTGCAAGGACTCTTGTTAAGTGCAATCAGCTAAACTGAATGTACTTGTATAATCACCAGCTTTTCTGTATTCTGCTCAACACCAGGAAGAGGCTGACTGCAGTCAACAAAAGCCCCCGCAGAGTTGGATCTATTTAAGTAGACTGATGGTGTCTGTGTGAATGGGGTCTAAAACATTGCAATGCTCATCATTCGGACTGGAATACCGTACTGGACAAGCATATATTAAAATTGAGCAAATTAGGCTTTGGTAAATTTGGATAAGGTCACCTGAGTGCAACTTAGCTCATTTCATTCTGGTATCATTTTTGAATAATATCTTTGAATTTATTTGTAAATGTAAAAAAAGAAGTCAATATGCTGATGTAGAATATTCATAATATTAATCCCCATTTTAGTAACACTGGTGGTAATGCAATCACAGAGCACACCATTGCCCACTGGGAAAAAGGAAAAAGGAGGGAGGAGATAAAACACAAGGACATGGAAAACGTCATTATTTTGAGTGCATACAATGAACATGGTAAGAGTCTTACGGTTCAGGGATTTTATATAACACTCACTTCTGGGATATTATATAACACCGTTGCCTGTAATAGAACCAACCAGTAGTAATATCATTCAAATAAAAAAATTAATATATTTAGAATGACATTTTAATTTCCAGAAGAAAAGTCTAGCTTAGTGAATAGTATAATTAAAAGTAAGAAGTAAAATTAATATCATTTTGTCACTGAGATAGAAAAAAAATTATGAAAAAATATGAAAAATCAATTTTTTTATGAATCAAAAAAGTGTGTATATTATCCTAGATTTGTTGTTTCGTTTTCATTTTTCCATCAGGCGGCCTGTGGCACAGCAATATCATTGAGATGAACTTAATAAGCAGCTTTGTACCGTTTCTTCCTCTGGAGAGAAAACATGTCAAGATGTGCATTAGGGATGACCTGAGAGCTAAAAATATTTCAGATGAAAAAATTACAGAGGAAATTCTCAGCAAAGTAGCAGATGAGCTGCAGTACCACCCTCCCAGTAAACAACTTTTTTCAAAGTCTGGATGCAAAAGAGTGTCTCAAAAAGTTGACTTGATTTTGGAGGATTTTGACAATGATTGAACCTTACTTCAATGTGTTTTTTTTTTCAAAGTTGTTTAGTATTTATTTTTGCTTGTCCAGGGGTCTTTGCGGAAATGGTGTCTGCGGTTTTGCTTTTCCAGGAATCGTGTTAATAATTTAAATGATATCATGTGTCTGCTAAGATTAGTTTCTTTGTAAAACGTAATGTTGATAACAAGGAAAGTCTGTGTACTGTTTTTCTTAAAATAAACACAGTCAAAACTTTAAATGGACTCCCGNAAATAGATACTTTGGAATACTGTCATAGAATATCTCTGGGTCCGCTCATGTTATTGACCATTTTACCTGTTGTGCATGATTAAAATTCGGTGTTGACTGATAGTGCTATTATTAGCATTATTTATTATTGCAAAATTGACAAAATGACCTTTTTTGCATCTTTATTTTCTGTTTTTTGTCTGTACATTTGACAGCTTTGCTGCCTTGTTAATTAATATCTTTGAATTTATTTGTAAATGTAAAAAAAGAAGTCAATATGCTGATGTAGAATATTCATAATATAAATGCCCATTTCAGTAACACTGGTGGTAATGCAATCACAGAGCACACCATTGCCCACTGGGAAAAAGGAAAGAGAAGGGAGGAGATAAGACACAAGGACATGGAAAATGTCATTATTTTGAGTGCATACAATGAACACGGTAAGAGTCGTATGGTTCTGGGATATTATATAACACTGTTGCCTGTAATAGAACCAAGCAGTAGTAATATCATTCAAATAAAAAAATTAATATATTTAAAATGACATTTTAATTTCCAGAAGAAAAGTCTAGCTTAGTGAATAGTATAATTAAAAGTAAGAAATAAAATTTATTTCATTTTCTTACTGACATAGAAAAAAATTATAGAAAAAATATGGAAAATCAAATTTTTATGAATTAAAGAAGTGTGTAAATTATCCTAGATTTGTTTTTTCTTTTTCATTTTTCCATCAGGTGGCCTGTGGCACAGCAATATCATTGAGATGAACTTAATAAGCAGCTTTGTACCGTTTCTTCCTCTGGAGAGAAAACATGTCAAGATGTGCATTAGGGATGACCTGAAAGCTAAAAATATTTCAGATGAAAAAATTACAGAGGAAATTCTCAGCAAAGTAGCAGATGAGCTGCAGTACCACCCTCCCAGTAAACAACTTTTTTCAAAGTCTGGATGCAAAAGAGTGTCTCAAAAAGTTGACTTGATTTTGGAGGATTTTGACAATGATTGAACCTTACTTCAATGTGTTTTTTTTTTTCAAAGTTGTTTAGTATTTATTTTTGCTTGTCCAGGGGTCTTTGCGGAAATGGTGTCTGCGGTTTTGCTTTTCCAGGAATCGTGTTAATAATTTAAAAGATATCATGTGTCTGCTAAGATTAGTTTCTTTGTAAAACGTAATGTTGATAACAAGGAAAGTCTGTGTACTGTCTTTCTTAAAATAAACACAGTCAAAACTTTAAATGGACTCCCANAGTTAATTGGTAGCGACACACCTGACCTCATACTTCTGCAGTCAGATATCTTATGTGAGATCTGATTTTTTTAAAAAAAGAACGCATTTTTACCTAGATATACCTTTAAAACTGAAATATTCCATATTAAATGTCAAGTCTGTATTACAATCCATTAAGAAATGGATTTTTCAAATATTCTCAACAAAACAAAAACCATGATACTTTGACAGTTGGTGTTATTTTTTTCCGTATTCAGAGTCCTTGGCTCAACGGTCTACCACAAAAAGGAGAGCATGTGGAAAATTCTTCGATTATAATTTTAATGGCCGCTGTTATTACATTGGTTGGATACCTAAAACTGCGTCTGAGGCGAGATTGATTTGTAAAGCCATGGGGGCAGATCTCGTGGCAATAGAATCATACCAAGAGGACAACTACTTGTCCCTGCAGCTCGAAGGTTTTAATGTACGTTGTTTTAAATGTGCCATCACTCCATCGCAATAGGTACAGAGAGTACGTCGCTAAATTCGTCTTACATTGATATTTATTTGTACTGTTATTTGTATTGAACATTCAGTCGTACTGCCTGTTTTTTAATTTCATTGTTGGTACATGTACATGCAACTACAATGAACAACAAAAGCTTTAGTAATAAAATATATCATTTAATATATCATACAAATCAGAGAAGTGCAGCCCCGTATTCCTTTTTTTTTATTTCAGATTAATTGTGCATGGACCAGTGGTCGCCAGGTGTCACCAAACAGTAATCACCACTGGATATGGGAATCTACTGGGAAGCCCATAGATACCTACACACGGTGGGGACCAAACGAGCCAACACACACATCCTCAGAGTATTGTTTGTGTTTGCAAGAATCATTCAAATTTGGATGGGTTGATACTTCATGTGAATCCAAAGAATCATTTGTGTGCGAAAAAAGTGCGAAATGAGAACGATAAATTTCGATTTCAGGAAAGACAACTTTATGAATTAAACTTGAGGAACTAATGTTCAATTGTGTATTCAGATTAAAGCACTTTGCCAATAAAGACTAAGGTCTAAAAAAAATCAACTCATTTCAGTAATGTTCCTTTTATTATTTTTTTAAAATATATAATTCCCCGGGAAATAATTTGCCGTGCCTTGTGAGATAATCTAAATTGTGTGCTGTAATTTTGTATCGGTTTTTGAGTGGAATAAAAAAAATTGTCGGCATTCTATTCAATATAAAATATATGAAACCTTTCGATTCACCAATGGCGGATTAGAAATACTAATTACACCATTTATTTCAGTAATACAATATACTTTTTTGCAAAGTTTAAACTGTAAGAAAACATTTGGCTATTGCTTACCCTTCAAGATAATTTGCTGGTTATCGAAAACGCGTTAGAGGCGAGATTGGTTTGTGTCGAGAGCCAGGGGTTTTTAAATCGTACAGGGGGACAACTACTTGTCTCTGCAACTCAAAAAGTTATAGGTTATGAAGAAATGTTGTTCTAGCATATTTTTATTTCTTCATTTCACGAATAATTAATACAGCACCTAGTATCACAGACCTTTATGTGGGCCATACTTATTGACTGAAACCACGAGGCCCCTAAATTTAATTCCATGATTATTCTGCCTGTTTTCTGTGTTATTTATAAGTTCTCACCAGAAAAATATTTTTGGCGCAACCTGAGGAATAATGCAAATGATGTTGTTTGGATTTTCCGACTGAATGAAAAAAAGATCAAGTACATTACGCCTACAGTATGGCGTGCGTCTGATACGGTTGTATTATAAAAAGTTTCCTTTTTGTCAACATAGAATGCTTAATGTGTTGCAGAAAAAATGTCAGTACACCAGCATCAGATTTATGATAAGTATTCACATACTTTTTTTGCAATGTTTTAAAAACTTTTGATATTGAAAAGGGGAAATAATAGTCTTCACCGAGATGATTTGTTTTACAAGTATGTTTTCTATTAGTTTTCTTTTTTCTCCTATTTTTCTTGGTTTTATTTATTATTCCACGTGAACTGCCATACAGGAAAATATGAAGCAAAGTATTTGTTTGCCTTCTGATCTTGATAAATGTGACTGGAAAACGCACATAAAATACTGCGTCTCATTGTTGGAAAGGCAGACGAGGGACACCTTCAGAAATTGAGTGGATGTGACAGCAGCTCACCTGTTACATTTGAGCACAGCTATACACATATAGCACATTCATCAGCCCCTTAAGCTGTATTTTGGATTCGATACCAAAGGAATTGGTAAGGGAATGCGTTTTTCTACGCTGGTGTGTGTGTGTGTGTGTGTGTGTGTGTGTGTTCCTAGGAGCATGCTGGCCAGTTTTCCAATTGGAAAATAATGCGAATACAATTTTTCAAAAAATAAAAAATAATCCGGGTCTCTTATCGATATTGGACATCAAAACAAGGGGGACTGTTCTTATCCCCCCCCCCCCCAAGTCCGTGTTTATCATCAGAGCGAGTCAAATAAAAGCCAAGTCCAATTCATCTGTCTGCATTAAAAAAGGAGCCGCATTAGGAAAACAGAGCAAGAGAATAGTAACGTCAACCAGTCACCTTTGAAAGCTTACGACGCGAGACTGTATAGGGGAATTTAACCCCATCTCTCTAACGGTAAGTGGTTAGGCGGTTTTAGGTTCCATTATTATATCATTTTTACGGTCTTGAAATAGCATAGGTATATTTAAATAATTTTGATCAATAATAATTTTCAAAAATCTATTTTCATTTTCAGGCCAATTTCTCTCAGCAATTTTATATATTTATATTATACTGTATAACCNTCCGAAAGACAGTCAGGTTATTAAGTTGATATTGCCTGGTATCTATTTTTTCTTCTGTTGGAAGACCATCAAAATGGAGGATGGATCAAAATAGATACTTTATAATACTGTCAGAAAATATCTCTGGGTCCGCTCATGTTATTGACCATTTTACCTGTTGTGCATGATTAAAATTCAGTGTTGACTGACAGTGCTATTATAAGCATTATTTATTATTGCATCAAAATTGACAAAATGACCTATTTTGCATCTTTATTTTCTGTTTTTTGTCTGTACATTTGACAGCTTTGCTGCCTTGTTTTTTTTTTGTTTTTTTTTTTAGTTTTTTTCATATTCAACCTGGAGAGGTTGAGTATCAAATATCTCGTGTTGTGATAACGGTGGCATTCTAAGAAACGTGAATTACAATGAAAAATTATCAACAAAGCATCCGGATATTTAAAAACTAATGATTACGTGTAAACTAATACCATACTTCTAAGATTTCATAAAAACACGGCTTGGTTTAAGAACGCTTTAACTACGAAACGTTTAAGAGACGCCTCTTCATTTGACTCGGGCATCGCTCAGAAGAAGTTGAAATCTGTTTGTGCGCTGTTCTTGAGATGGCTAGTGGGCCTTTTGTTCTCCTGCTACTGCTTTGCATGGGCTTTGTCTTTGGAGGTAACGAACCAATACAACAGTACATTAAGTTTTTAATTAGTATCTTATTCAAACTTACGTATGTTTGTATGTTTTCACGAAATCTAAAACTATCAGCACTGGAAAATACGATAAGAGCATTTTAAATGGTAAAAATGATAAAATGTTATAAGAGAATATTTTTACCTATGTGACGTGTTTAAACATTTGAACTTATCAAAAGACTTAATATTCATTTTAGAAACGATTTACAGGTAAGGTTTAACACATTTTTGCACAGTGATTACCTTTTCTGAAATAACTGACCTAACAATTCCAATTTATTTTATTTATTATTATTTTTTTTTTTTGGGGGGGGGGTCATAAGTCACGTAAATAAGGCTTCCATAAATCAAAAAGACCGATAAACAACACTTGTTATCTGCATGAAATAGGCAGTTGTTTTCTATTTAATAATGCACAAAGACCATGAAATTGAACTAAGAGAAAATTCCTTTTAATTAGATATTAGTCATTAAAACCGAAATTCCGATTCACTATTATCCATCCGATATAAGTAAGACACATCGGTATTTATATTGCAATCCATTAAGAAATGGTTTTTTCAAATATTCTAAACAAAACAAAAACCATGATACTTTGACAGTTGGTGTTATTTTTTCCGTATTCAGAGTCCTTGGTTGAACGGTCTGCCACAAAAAGGAATGCATGTGGAAAATTCTTCGATTATAATTTTAATGGCCGCTGTTATTACATTGGTTGGATACCTAAAACGCAGTCTGAGGCGAGATTGATTTGTAAAGCCATGGGGGCAGATCTCGTGGCAATAGAATCATACCAAGAGGACAACTACTTGTCACTGCAGCTGAAAAACGTATGTTACTTTAAAGTGTACTATCACTCCATTGCAATGTTCATATGCAGTACGCGGCTAAGTTCGTCATACATTGATACTTATTTGTACTGTTAGTGTTATTTAACATTCACCCGTACTGCTTGTTTTTTAATTTCATTGTTGGTACATGTACATGTAACTACAATGAACAACAAAAGCTTTAGTAATAAAATGTATCATTTAATATATCATACAAATCAGAGAAGTGCAGCTCCGTATCCCCCTTTTTTTCAGATGAATGGTGTATGTTACTGGACCAGCGGTCACCAGGTGTTTCCAACTAGTAATCACCACTGGATATGGAAATCTACTGGGAAGACCATAGCTACCTACGCACGGTGGGTTCCAAACGAACCAACGCACACATCCTCTGAGTATTGTTTGTGTCTTTATGAACCACAAAAATTTGCCTGGATTGATATTACATGTGGAGTCAAACGACCATTTGTGTGCGAAAAAAGTGCAAACACAGGACGATGAAATTCTAATTCAGGAAAGACAAGTTTATGAGATTAACTTGAGGAACTAATGTTCCATTGTGTATTCA